AGCTCCGAGTACAGACGGATTCAGCGTGTAGTGTACGCATGTGTCCCAGCTCTCTGAGATGGGAAAGGAAAACTCCTTTTCAGACCCAATATTTTAATGGGAAAAATGCTCCATTGCCACAGACCCGGTCTTCTTATTTCCTTAAAAAGAAGACCGAGTAAATCAATACTTATATTAAATCATCTCAAGATGATATTTTGGGTTCCCTGGGCTACATCTAGCTTGGTGCTTTTATATTTGTTGCAATGGGAATGAAGACATTACAGGTAAAAAATATCCAAAAACATTTTATATTTCTTTTATATATTACACCTTAAAAAGCAACATGAGTGCATAGAGAGAGAGCAGGTTCAATAGTAAACAAACCTCGTGTGATCACTATGATTGGCTGTCATGGTAGTCACATGAGCAAGAAACCTGCTGATAGGTTCCCAAATGTTGGTGTGAAACCAGCAGTGGTCAGTGACAGAACACTTTCAGGGCTAGCAGCATGTACTTGCTTTCAGATTTAACATAGATCAGCGCTCTCTCAGCATGGACAACGGTAATGGGGTTTTTTGACAGTTTCAGGGTGCTCTGTTTCAGATGTCGCTATGTCTAAAACATTTACCCCATGAGAACCGGTCTGTATGGACAGTATGGCAACTTGCTGACTTTATAGGAGTCACAGGCAGGGTAATTCTGCAAGAAGAACCAGAAGTAGAATCCAGAGTACTTTTAATTCAGCTTTCTACAATATAAGCATTTTTCTTTTGAATTTTAATAAGACAATGTGGAAATGTATCAAATCTGGAGCAGACAGAATCCGGAATAGTGGACTATATTAAGCAATCAGCATCTCCTTTCAGTTCCATTAGGCTTTGAAAATTAAAGATAAAAGCTCATTGGTTGTCTTGGGCAACTGCTCCACTTTCGATCTGTTCCAGTTTTGATAAATTCCCCTCAATGACTTCCTTACCCTGACTGCAATGGTAAGGAAAAAATATTAGGTCAGCAAAATGGGAGTGTCTAAAGATTGTACGACCTGGGAGCAGAACATACCAAATGCACCAAACATCAAATAATAAACAGGCTGCCGTAGCAGCACAAATAGAATGTAGTTACTATTGTCAGGATGCATAAAGCGGTCTCATTTTCATTTTTTCATAAAAATACTTTTGTCTCCACCTAGGGTTGCCACCCGTCCGGTTTTCAACCGGACAGTCCGGGTTTGGCGTCTTGTGTACGGGTGTCCAGCCAGCGGGCACCCGTACACACGACACTCTGCTGACAGCGGCACTTTAAATTTTCTCGCAGATGCGGCTGCGAGGTCCTTGGTAAGTGCGATCCACGGCAGCCGCATCTGCCTGAAACCGGATCTTCCTCTGAGCTGCGGGCAGCCTGTGTCTGTTTACAGGTGCCCGCAGCTCAGAAGAAGAGTCGGGTGGAAAATCGGCAGCAGCAGCGTCAGCCTGCAGAGACTCCCTGGAGGGCAGAGCACAGGATTCCAATACAGCAGCAATGGACGGCTGGCCCCGCCCACTAAGGGGATGCTGCCGGGATGAAGTCACATGGGTGATAGCCACGCCCCCTAGAGTGACAAGCCAACACACAGGAGATCCCAGGGTGCTGACAACTCTGCAGCGTTGTGGTATGTATACTGAAGAAATTCAAAACTTAAATGTCATCATCTGAGGACACATACACCTGTAGCACTTATTTATGTATAAATAAGTGTGTCTGCAGTGTATATTCGTGTAGATGGGGTCAGGGGTCATTAATAAGTAATGTGATTTAAAGAGACCCTGTCACCTCATGCATATCTCAAAACTTTAAAAAAAATGTTTTTGAATAAAGTAGGTGAGGGATAAAAATATTTATTGGTGTTTTTTGCCATTCTGCATCCCACTCGAGACTTCTCTTTGCTTCCTGTCATGTAAACATAACAGGAAGTGAGAGCAAATGTCTCCAAAGCATGCCTCCCAAATTTATATAGAGGGATACTGGCACCAGGTGCTGGAACAGGCAACCCTCTTCCCTAGGTGCTGAGACATTGGGAAAACTGTCCTGGGGATTGGTTGAAATGCACTGGCGAAACTACAAGGGTCGCACCGGTCGCAATTGTGGGGGGCTGGGGGAATGCTGGTAATATTCTGCAGTGCTGACTTTTAGTATAATGTATTGCTGGGACTTGTAGTCCTGCATGGCTGGTGGTATTCTGCATTGGTGTATGCTGATTATACAGCAATGCAGAATAGCACCAACTATGTAGGACTACAAGTCCCAGCAATACATTATAATGGGGCGGATGCTGGTGGTATTCTGTATAGCTGACTTATTATAATGTATTGCTGGGACTTGTAGTCCCGCATAGCTGGTGGTATTCTGTATTGATGTATGATGACGATACTGGGCATTTTCACGAGTACTCATACTAATGCCCCGATACTAAGCGCAGACACCGGTGTTCTGTCGGGAACGCCAACGTAGTCGAATTTGCCGACCTCAGCATCTACACTTGCGCACAGACCAGTATTATCGAGGAAACGCATTTATTTACAAAGTTTTTTGTTTAAATCGTTAATTGTGACCGTTAATAATATTCCATCCATCATTCACTGCCATGGACGGCATATTATTGACGGTCAAAATTAACAATTAGAAACAAATACTTTGTAAATAAATGCCGGTTTCCTCGTTAATCCCGTCTGTACATAAGCGCAGATACTGGGTCAGCGTTCTCGACAGAACACCGGCACTAAAATTTTAAACAAGAGGCTGCCCGAGGTCCCGCACTTGCTGGGGACCTCGGCAGCCTTCCTGTTAACCACGCGGTGCCATGGCGGTTGGGGGGCCCTTCATGGTTTCTTACACCGGGGCCCTGAAGGTTCTAGTTACGCCTCTTGAAATCCCAGGACAGTCTGGCAGAAATCAGGATGGTTTGGTGGTATGCCAAAGTGAGGTAAATCTTGCCATTCCGTGTCCCATTCAAAAGATTTCTCCTAACTTCCTGCAGGAACAATAGGAAGTGAGAGCAAATGGGCGCGGTTTAAGGGTAGGGTTGCCACCAGTCTGGTTTTGGAGTCTTGTGTCCGGGTGTCCAGCCAGTGGGCACCCGGACACAAGACACTCAGTGCCGACACCGGCATTTTACATTTTCTGACAGATGCGTCTGTGGAGGTCTTTAGGAAGTGCAATCTCGGGCAGCCGCATCTGCCTAAACCCGGATCTTTCTCTGAGCTGCCGGCAGCCTGTGTCTGTTTACAGGTGCCCGCAGCTCAGAGGAAGGGCCGGGTTTTAGGCAGATTCGGCTGCCTAAGATCGTGCTTGCCGAGGACCCCCACAGACGCATCTGTCATTGCCTTCTCCTCCTCCAGCTCCCTGACATCATGCTGCCCACCTGTGGACCCCTGGTGAGACACCATAGCCCATTTAGCCCACCACGAGAGCCCGCACAACCCACCAGGCCACGTGGAGACATCAGTGCGTCAACACAGAACAACACAGAGTATGTAGCTTCATATTATTTTGTATTGCTGTATAATGTATTGCTGGGATTTGTAGTCCTCTCTAGCTGTCCCGGTCTCCTCCCCCTTATATAAAAAAAAAAAAAATTGCCGCGTGCGGCGCTAGAGTGTTCGGGTTTCACTTGAAGAAAAGGTGGCAACCCTATCTCCACCGCTCGCTACTGTCCAAAGATCTGAAGATTATCGGGCAGCCGTAGAGGATAGTGGGGCGGGCGCATGTGCAGTAGAGACCTTCTGCCGTGAGAAGAGTAGAAACTCGGTGTAAGTCAATGCACGTAGCCGGGAGCGTGCACGCGCACAGACATCGTGGGACACAGAAGGCACAGCAGTCAGCGCTGGATCAGAGACCGGCACCAGCGCTGGAGGGACTCCTGAAAAGAAGTGGAGTGGAAGGAAGAAGATGAACGAATCAAGAGGCATCATTTAAGGTAAAGTCCTTAAAGGAGAACTTTGGGGTCAGTGTTTTTCCCCATAGTTCTCCTTAGGGTAACGGGAGAACACAAACTAGCGTCTTCCCGTTACCCTAAGCTACAGTATACTGAGACGCCGGAGCGGATCCCGACATCGATGTCAAGATCCGCCCAGCTGCCTGAGTGACAGCTGGCTCTGCCTATCTAGAGGCAGAGCCAGCTGTACCCGCCCCTTCCCCCGTCCGTTCCGCCAGT